GTTGTTTTTATTCGGACAAAAATGTCAAAAAATATCCATAATTGAAAAAAGATTGACTTTCTGAATGTCTGTTTTGGGAATACAAAGTTTGATGTTTACAAAACAATCCGAAAATTTGTGATTATTATTGTTTACGTGTCTTTAAATGGGTTCAGATATTCTGAACTTAACCCTTTAAAAGTCGAGTTAAAAGGAGTCGAACACTTTAATGACATAATCACAACTCTAAACAAACACAAATATTGTTCATTAGAGGAATGCATATTGCCCGCTGTTTTGAAGCTAAAGTTTTGAACTCTTGTGTGATCCGTTAGCGCTTCATGCATCTGTTAGGGGTGACTGTCGGCTACTACCACACCAAATCTTAGCTAAATGTTTATGAAATTGACTGAGGTGTAGCCGTTTGTGTGTTTTCCTGTTTGTTTAGGTGCAGCGGCCATCTTGACTCGAAGTTAATCAGTTGTAAATGTACTTGTAGCAGTTTTGTTAAAATCCATCCCGTGGTTCATGAAATATTTTGCTAACAGACAATGATCACAGCTGCATGATCACCTGCCTCTCATGGTTGAGTTTTAGCTCATTTTAATGGTCGTTGGTACAAAATGACCAAGAATGGTTTTAAATCCATCAGAGTAAAACTAGAACTAATAATATTTAACGTCTTGTTTAGACGAGTCGATTGACTCAAACCAACATTTGTTGGGAAATGTCAGATTTATGCCAAGATTCTTCGTGGTGGTGCGTTCAAGCAGCTCAGACGTCCTTAATGTGTTGAACGGCCATGATTCACAGGAAGTTCTTAGAATATAACAATTCTGTTGGTCACTCCTGTTGTCTCAGATCTTTGAGGGTCCTTGAATGCACCATCAGGGAGTCTGTTCAAACTGTCTGTGGTGATGCCTTCAAGGACATTCTGTTGTTTTTAGTTTGTTGTTGAACAGCTGCTTTCTTTTAATTAAGAAAATGATTTCCAGCTCGTATTTCATCTTTTATCCACAAAAAACAAGAAGTTTTATTCCATCAGAGACGAACAGAACGAACCCAAAGAAAGTGACTAAATTATCTGCCAAAGAATCAAACTGAAACATTCCCTCATGTTTCCATGTCATGGTCATGTGCACGATAACGTTTGTCTTCCTGTCAGACACTTCAAACCTGAGGCATGATGGGAAAATGGGCGTGGCTCCATCTGTGTCCTCGTTGAACCAAACGCAGGAAGGCTTCTTACAAAATAAAAGCCCTCCATTAAAAATCTATGCTGCTGCCTGTCTGTCTGTCTGCCTGTCTGTCTCTGCCTGTTTGTCCGTCTGTCTCTGTCTGTCTGTCTGCCTGTTTCTGCCTGCCTGTCTGTCTCTACCTGTTTGTCTCCCTGTCTGTCTGCCTGTCTCTGTCTGTCTGCCTGTCTCTGCCTGTCTGTCTGTCTGTCTGTCTGCCATTATACGTTTGTGAATCCAGGCGGCGATGAACGTTCAGAGGAAAACGGAGGAACGACACGACTGCGACCAGCCCGGTGACATCTTGTTTCCATGAAGCCGGAGGAGTTAATGTTCAAATTCAAAATAACTTTATTCGAACTGTAAAACAAACAAACCGCTCAGATGTTTAAAATGTTGAGTAAAAAAGATCTGAAACCATTTTAAGTCGATCTTTGTTTTATTAATTTTTTTAAGTCAAACCAGGTTCAGTTGGAGTCCAATTCAATCAAGTTGAGTTCAAGCTCGAGTCAGTTTTAAGAAATCAGAGATGCTCGATATTATCGCCATGGTATCGGTGTCGGACAATATTAGTGATGAAATTAAATATCGGCCATTCCATCAAAAAACTCAGATATAAAAGACTTTGGTTTTAAGTTGACAGTTTCTTAAATTAAAAATTATGTATATCTATTAATGCACTACTAATATTAATGCACTAATATTAATGCACTACTACTTATTAATGCTCTACTAATATTAATGCACTACTAATATTAATGCACTACTACTAATTATTAATGCACTACTAATATTAATGCACTACTACTTATTAATGCAC